GTTCTCATTAGATGCTATTATGATTATTTCTGAACATCTGCGCCTTTTGTTTAAAAGAGACGACAATAAATGCACTGACAGGATTTTGATTGTTAAAAAACTATAATACCAAACCATAAGGTCAGTGGAAAAGATTAACATTTCATATTTAGCCCTAAAAATACAGTATTTTTTGGACTATAAGGCGCACCCGATTATAAAATGCATTAAGTGAAACAAACGGACGACACTTGAGACTGATCCCTTAGCCCAGGCATCCACGATCCACTGTTTGTTTGTTTGGTTGGTTGGTTTTTTTGAGAAAATTAAAGGATTTTAAGTGCGCCTTATAGCCCGAAAAATACGGTATGCTCAATTCTACATATGCAGGTGCCGTGAAGTCATGAAAAATTCACTTTAGGTCATGAAAAAGTCATGGAAAGTTTTGAAATTTTATCAGTGAAAAAGAGAGAACGCTGTTTATTCAATTACAGTTGGTTTAAGGCTCAAAAATACCCAGAAAAACAACATTTTGACTGTGAGTGGGGTCGCCTTTCCACAGATCTGACCTGTAATTGGGTCTGATTTGATCTCCATGAAGATAGAAATGTTTAATGCCATACTGTGAAACATTCTAGAAAAAAGAAATAACATCTCAATGAAGAAAAACATTTGATGGATCTTCCACCAGAAAAATTACACAAAAATACACTTTTAAATACTCTTTTGTTTTGTTCAATATTTTCTGATTGCAGGTGAAGACAGAGAGGACAGTGAAGATTCTGACCCTGAATATGTGAGTCAAGATTAATTTTAAACACGCTGCATCCGATTTTTACTGTCTTAAAACGTGAAAAACAGAACTACTTCATTTTAAACCAGGGGTGTCAAACTCATTTTGGTCCAACCTACTTTGATCCTAAAGGGGCAAGATCAGAAAACTCATGTCATATAAACCCCACAAATAACAATAAGTTCAAATATTTGTGCAGAGAAATGCAAATCTATGACAGAAATCTTTTTTAATTGATGAACTCTTTCTTTTACAAAATATTATATTATTATGAACAACCTGAAACTTTAAGAAAAATGCAATTTCAACACAATTTTTTTAACATGAACTTGTTTGCAAACAGGAATAAGTCAAACTTCTTAGGTTATTTTTAAACTATTCAGCTGATATATGACACGTCACCACCAACACCGGTGACAGTTCTGAAGATGGCTTGCAGCTAGCAGCCGAAACATGTCAACAAGGTAAATACACTTTACTGCATTGTCTTTAAAAAGAACCTAAGAAGTTAAAGTAGATAAGAAGACAAAATGAACATCATTGGCTTAGGAATAAGTCAATTTTTCTTGGAAAATCCTGCACTCTGCGTCCACTTTTCTCATTTTTGACATTTTGCTGATGAGGTTGTCACGGTCAACAGTCAAAACGATCGTCCTTTAAGAGCGTTTGGAAAGAGACAAGTCTTCATTTGTGCTGCTCTGGTGGGAGGGGCCACGCACAGAGACGCTGGAGACGCTGCTGTGATAAACACCACAGAAAATTAACAAGATTTTAATAGAAAATAGAATTAAAATATTTTAGTAGAAAATCAGCCGAGGGCCAGATTAAAGGTCTTGGAGGGCCGGATCCAGCCCCCGGGCCGTATGTTTGACACCCCTGTTTTAAACGGTTTGAAGTGGTCTAAAGTTATTCCTCACTTACCTTATGGATTCCAGTATTCTAATTATTCACCACGATGAGTTTATAAATCTTTTTACAGCTCTCAAAGACCAGAGTTCCAAACATCTTCCTGGTTTGTGACATAAGCGCGAATAGAGCCGATTACAGAGCAAAATATCGCGCTTCTGAAAGTGTTATCACAGCATGTCCACTTCAGACCACAAACAAATATAAACAACGCTGACACTTTCACGCGGGCAAAAGAGGACACGGCGTCCCAGAGTGTTGTTCACAAAGACTGTAGATGGAGGTTGATTTGAAAATATGTTTTGATTCCAGGACAATGAGACGTACGAAGCTCCAGGAGTGGACGACAGCTACGAGCCTCCTCCCTCTCACCAGCAGCGGGTGTTCAGCTCCGGACCTTTGCCGCGGGGGGAGTACGTCGGTCAGTATCATAAAACTACTGTGGTCACCAGACTAAACCTTCAAACTCTATTTCTATATTAAGGAATAGACTCAATACTGATAATAAACAACACTCTTTATTCAGACAATAGAATGACATTTTCAATTTTAAACTGTAGTATTTTCTTTTATATCACCACGTGGCCAAAACGACAGACAGTGTTGGGGAGTAACAGATTACATGTACCAGAGTTATGTAATCAGAGTAGAAATTCATGAGTAACTGTATTCAGTTACAGTTACTGTTTCAGTGAGTGGTAATTGGATTACAGTTACTTTGTTGAAATAAATGGATTACACGGCGGGATTTTTCTGTTTTCACATTTTGGGCTATATCCCTTTTTTCTTTTTTTTTTTTTTTTTTTGGAATTCCACTCATTGCTGGAAACTAAACCAGGACTAAAACCAAGTCTAAACCAGGACTAAATCGGATTTGAACCAGGACTGAACCCAGGTCTAAACTAGATCTAAACCAGGTCTAAACTAGATCTAAACTGGGTCTAAACTAGATCTAAACCAGGTCTAAACTAGATCTAAACCGGGTCTAAACTAGATCTAAACCAGGTCTAAATCAGGACTAAACCAGGATTAAAATCAGGTCTAAACCAGGACTAAAACCAGGTGTAAACCAGGACTAAACCAGGTCTAAACCAGGACTAAAACCAGGTCTAAACTAGATCTAAACCAGGTCTAAACTAGATCTAAACCGGGTCTAAACTAGATCTAAACCAGGTCTAAACCAGGTGTAAACCAGGACTAAACCAGGACTAAAACCAGGTCTAAACTAGATCTAAACCAGGTCTAAACTAGATCTAAACCAGGGTCTAAACTAGATCTAAACCAGGTCTAAATCAGGACTAAACCAGGATTAAAATCAGGTCTAAACCAGGACTAAAACCAGGTGTAAACCAGGACTAAACCAGGACTAAAACCAGGACTAAACTAGATCTAAACCAGGTCTAAATCAGGACTAAACCAGGATTAAAACCAGGTCTAAACTAGATCTAAACCAGATCTGAACCAGGAGTAAAACCAGGACTAAACTAGATCTAAAACAGGATTTAACAGGACTAAATCATGCTGCGTGGACCATGTCTCCTCCTCTTCTATCAATAATATTTTTAATACGGTTAAGGAAAGTCTGGGCTTTTTATTGTCTTATGTGAAGATATCCGAGTCTTTGCTTCTCTACAGAAAATCACGTAATCCAAAGTATTCAGATTACGTTACTCAATTTAAGTAATTTAATGGATTACGTTACAAACTACAAAAAACTTTGTGGTCCTGTTGTTTTAATGCAAATGCTTACGTGCTTCTTCACTTCCTCTTTCCAACAGACAGCTGCCGAGGCCCACCGAACCGTCCCCTGAAGAAGCCCCACCACGCGGGGAGAGCGGGCAAACGGCTGCCCCTTCCACCCAGACCCAACCACCAGGACAACGACGAGGTGAAGACGCACACCGACAACAAATACAAATCAAATCACCACATATTTTTAGCCTGAAAGTAGGAATTCTTAGCAACACTTGATACTAACTTTGACTTTAATAGCCTAGAACAATTCAGGCTTAGTTACTACTTCTTTAACTGCCTAGTGAATTACCGTATTTTTCAGACTATAAAGTGCACCGGATTATAAGACGCAGCTTCAATAATGTTGAATTCGCTCGTCTGTTTTCGTACATAAGGTGCGCTGCTGTTCATACTGTACGCCGAAAAGTGTCAGAGCACCTATGAGAAAAGAAAAATAATAAAATATGCGGACGATTCTGTCACTGTGAGCTTGCCCCACAAAAATGAAAACCAACATGGGCCAGTTGTCGAGGACTTTGTAAAATGGTGTGAAGAGTCGCATCTGCACATAAATGTATCCAAAACGAAGGATATGATTATCGACTTTCGAACGCGAGCGCCTCAGTATGATGTCACAGAGATAAAGGGGCAGTTAGTTGAGTGTGTCGATATAAGTATCTTCAAACACTCATTGATTCAAATTTGAGTTTTGACGATAATTGTGCTGCTGTGTGTAAAAGAGGCCACCAGCGCCTTCATTGTCTGAGGAAGTTGTCCTTTTACCGTGTAGACAGAACCAATGATGACTCTGTTTTATAAAACTTTTATGGAATCAGTTTTAACGTTTTCATTGGTCTCGTGGTTTGGGAGCGTCTCTGCTAAACACAAGAACTCCCTGAATCAGTTGGTTAAATGGGTGAGTAGGTGATTGTTCCTCCTCAGAGCCGCCTGGACTCTCTGTACTCCAGACACTTACAGAAGACGTACCAGAGTGTTTTAAAAGACGAGCAACATCCACTAAATTCAGAGTTTCAGCTGCTTCCCTTTGGTCCGAGGCTTTTAGTCCCAAGATCTAGAACAAATCGTTTTAAAAGGAGCTTCGTTCCGGCTGCTATCGTATTTATGAATAAACTGTCTAAACTATTTATCTAAAGATTGTGTGTTTTTAACATATTAATATTTATCGTGTTTTAGCCAAGCGCGATGGATGAATTTAACTAATTGTTTATGGAACAAACCATTCTGCACTGGAGCTCTGTAACACTTTATTTTGTAATTGTGTTTTTATACGTGTTTTTGTACATAATGTGGATGAATGAAATGTGAAATGTGGGACCTGCTTTTCAAATCTGCAAAACGATTATAAGGAGCATTAAGCGAAACAAATGGACGACACTTGAGACTAGGGGTGGGTATCATTAAGAGGTTGTCAATACGATACATACCTCGATACATAGGCCACGATACGATACGCTTTTCGATACAGTCCAATTTTGATTCAATACGATTTGATATGATATATTTAAAATCGATTTGATACAATTCAGTGAAAAACAAAGACTAAATAAATCATGGCTGTGATACTAAGTCCACTAAGTCTGTGCAAACTGAAGATAAAAAAACAAACATTCTACTCATAACATGAAAACACAACACAACACAACTGTAGCTCTTACACAGAATAATTTAGTAAAATACACCTGAAAATACTCTTGACTTTATCTTGATACAGCAGCCCATGATATCGATACTGTATCATCAAATTAAACAATACGATATATTGATATTTCTGTATATTTGCACACCCTCACTTGACTGATCTTTAGCTCAGGCGTCTACAATCCATTTGCAGATCGTGGTGTAATTCGCCCGGCGTTGCCTCCCTGTCTTGGTGAATGTGGATTATGAATGTGAATGTGGGTGGATCATTTATTTAAGTTTGTTTTTTTTATTTCCTACGAAGGACGACTCAAATATACATTGAGTAATAATGTGTTTAATGCAGCTTTACGCCCATTTGTTTACGTTTTACAGAAACTAAACTTGAAACCACATGGCTCATTTGCATAAACTATAAGCTCTGAAAAAAACAGCTCGCTCCTTGTGTGATGATGCGGTTCAGCTTCTGTTCGACTAACTTTGCGAGGCTCCTGACTACAGTAGCCATAATCCTCTGACAACCCTTCAAGCGGTGCGTCTTCGTAGTTTACCAAAGTCTTACTAAAACTAAAAATTCGGACAGATTTTTGAGCGCCGTGTACCACATAAAATCGGTTCGAGGTCAGTAAGCACAACCAGAATTAATACATAAGGCAGATTATAACGCGCACTGTCGATTTTCTGAGACAATTAAAGGATTTTAAGTGCACCTTATAGCCCAAAAAATACAGTAAAGTGTAAGAGGGTTATAACAATAACCAAAATATCGTGATATCGTATCATCAAAGTTCTCACAATAATATCGTCGACCATCACAATATATCAAATTACAAGTGCGTTTGCTTAAATTAAGAGTTATGGTGCAACAACAGCTCAAAAAAGACAGAGGGAACTACATAGACCATGATCCTTTGCTCCGTTTCAGTGCAGACTACATGAAGAAATAACAGTTCTAAACACTTTTAAGTCTTAGTTCTTTGGATTAAGTCTTGTCAAGGTATTTTAAGAGGAAAAAGTCGCATATTCACAGTTTTGTCACAATAAATATCGTAACGTGAGACGTATATCGTGAAAATATCGTACCGAGAGATTTGAATATTGTTACATCTCTAATCGTGAGTCTCCCCACCGTATCATGAGCTTTTCAACGATATTGTAGCGTGAGGTTCATACCTTGACAATATCGTATCATGAGACTTGGATATCGTTACACCTCTAGTAATGGGCCTATGTTTTGATCTGTTAAAATGTTCGTAATAATAAAAAAAAAAAGTCAAGTTTTGTTTCATTCACACGTGTTTAACCCATAAATCAGACTTCTTCTCTTAAACAGAAAACACTCAAACTCCACACACACCTTGCACTAGAATCATTTGGATGATTTCAGTTCTTCTAATCTACATTAAACAAAAGATAAAAGTAGTAGGATAACTTGAAAACTACAGCTTCATGACATCACAAGGTGGAACAGAGCATTTTGAGCTTTGGAGATGTAGACAGACTAATAATAAAGTGACTCAAACATGTGAAAATGAAACAAAACACAACTCCAGGTCTGTTTTTGAGACAATAACTGCATTATAACACTGCTTAAATCTCACAAAAATCCATGTAATGTGTGTAATATTGGACCTTTAAGTCTCCATGTTAGTAGTTATTATAAATTTGTGAAGAAATCATTGTAGTCTTAACTTAAATAACTTAAATAAACAAATATAATCTTACATCTCCTACTTTATAGTCTTAAAAAGAACAGAAAAGTTGTTAATAATCTTACTAAACTCTTTTTCAACATGTTTCTATTACTGTGGTGGAAAGATGTTGACGTAGTTTTGTGTCTATAGACTCAGTTCCAAAATATTCTGACCACTTCCTCTCTTATAACCGACTGACACGGCTGACGGTTGCATAAGTCACATGACAAAATTTCAGGGCAACTAAATGGGCACTGTGTGACTTTACAAGAGGAGGGCGGAGATGAGATCAGTGTGACTTGAATATTCCGCTGTACGGTATTAAATTGTCCAAAAAATATTGAGCTTTGCTGTTGTTACTGCCTCAGAAAGCACAACAAATAATTCACAACGCTGGGTTTTATGACCACACCAACCAGCTATTCATCAAAAAAGAAAGAACTACCAAAAAATATTCAGAAACTTTTTATTGAGAGAGAAAGTACTTTTAGTCGAGGAGCCGGAGTCTCGAAAGCTCAATAAAATAGGTTGAACCTGACATCGTCACATCGTCTGCCGTACTTTTTATTTGTGGTTTTTTTTGTTAACTGTGACCCTAAGGACTAATAATTGGAGGGTCTGCACTTCCCGGAAACTATCGTGAAAAAAATTGTGTGTAACCTTCATATTTTTGATAGGAAATTTAGAAAAATGAAAAATTTCCTGAAATCCTCAGTGGGTTGGGTAAAGTGTCAATAAATTCATTCCAGATGCAAAGAACACATGTGGTGACAACATTCAGTGAAAAAAGAATTCTTAAAACACATTTCTACATGATTTTGGCTCAATTTAATGCAAAAAATAAGGTGTTTTTTTTTACTTCTTCCCAATATTTTAGGCTATGTTCAGACTTCAGGACTTCACACTCCATTCCGATTTGTTTGTGAAATTCGATGTTTTTGCGAGGTCGTTCACATTTCCAATTAAATGTGACTTGTACGTGACTCCAGTGTGAACATTAAACGGCCCGAAAGTGTCCCACATGTGACACTGGAGACACGACGACGTCAACCGCAGCGAGCGTCTCTGTGTTTACAGAAGTTGTCCAAACATGGACGCAGCATCGAGCACCTGGAGATTTTAAAGTTCCTCTCGTACCGGAGCCAGAACATGAACAACTTACTTGTTTTAAGGAGGAGATTGAGAAGGAGAAGGACGAGGTTTTTGGCCGTGGTGTTTTGTGGTTCAGTCCGTTGAAAGGAACGTGTGGATGTGGAGACGGAGCCAAGAGTGGTGAGTGGTGATGTGCTTCACTTCAGTGACACAGAGTTCATTAACAATTTTCGCCTACTTCAGAGCAGAATAGTGACGTTTGTGTCTTGTTGATAACGTGTAGGTGGATGAATGCACTTTGACCGTTCAGACTGAAGTCGCATGTCAAAAGATCGGATATGTATCAGTTTCAGGACCACATATCCAAGTGTCCTGGGTCACATTAAAAAAATTGGATCTGTGTCGTTCAGACTGTCATGAAAAGATCAGATACAGGAACATAGAAGCCAAAAAATCGGATTTGGGTCACTTCAGGCTGCAGTCTGAACACAGCCTTATCTTTACCTTATTGGCAAGTTATGACATCAGCCAATATGTCATTCTTTTCACCAAACAGAAGACTCATTCCACAGAAAAAAATATAAAAATCAAAATCAAAATCAATAGATCTGTGATGATTTCATTACTAGTTCGCCATCAACAGGCCCAGAACCTCAACAGAATTTTAGGTTACTTTGAAAACTCCAAAAGGCCCACTGGTTTTTCACTGAATGTTGTCACCACATGTGTCCTTTGCATCTGGATAATTATGCTGTTACACGCTACAAAAGAGTGGGATAATCAACTTTTAAAACCTTGTATAATGACAGGAGGATTACATAAGCCCAGACGGCAGCAATGACGACGACAACTACATCGAACCAGAAGAGCATCCACCTCAACGTAAGAAACTTGATACTTTTTTAATACCTCAGTGCAGGACTGGCAGGGGTGTAGTGGGTGTCGGGATGAGCCAGGAAGTGTGCCCACGTAGACTGTCGGGTGACCGCAAGCCAAAGGACCAGCGCAGAGCCCACGCCCCACGGGGATGAGCACAGCCGTCGGTGATCGTGCTTTGCGGACACCCTGCTCCACGGGCTCGGTGTCCTCTCTCTCACTCTCAAGACCGAGATGGGTCCTGGTTTAGTCTTGGTTTAGACCTGGTTTAGACCTGGTTCGGTCCTGGTTTAGTCCTGGTTTAGACCTGGTTCAGTCCTGGTTCAGTCCTGATTTAGTCCTGGTTCAGTACTAGTTTAGACCTGGTTTAGACCTGGTTTAGACCTGGTTCAGGCCTGGTTTAGACCTGGTTCAGTCTGGTTTAGACCTGGTTCAGTCCTGGTTCAGTCCTGGTTTAGACCTGGTTCAGTCCTGGTGGTTCAGTCCTGGTTCAGTCCTGGTTTGGTCCTGGTTCAGTCCTGGTTTAGACCTGGTTCAGTCCTGGTTCAGTCCCTGGTTCAGTCCTGGTTCGGTCCTGGTTCAGTCCTGGTTTAGACTGGTTTCCTGGTTAGACCTGGTTCGGTCCTGGTTCAGTCCTGGTTTCCTGGTCCTGGTTCAGTCCTGGTTCGGTCCTGGTTCAGCCTGGTTTCCTGGTTTAGACCTGGTTCAGTCCTGGTTCGGTCCTGGTTCGTCCTGGTTTCAGTCCTGGTCAGTCCTGGTTCGGTCCTGGTTTAGTCCTGGTTCAGTCCTGGTTCAGTCCTGGTTCAGTCCTGGTTCAGTCCTGGTCGGTCCTGGTTCGGTCCTGGTTCAGTCCTGGTTCAGTCCTGGTTTAGACCTGGTTTAGTCCTGGTTTCAGTCCTGGTTCAGTCCTGGTTTCGGTCCTGGTTCAGTCCTGGTTCAGTCCTGGTTTCAGTCCTGGTTCAGTCCTGGTTCAGTCCTGGTTTAGACCTGGTTCAGTCCTGGTTCAGTCCTGGTTCAGTCCTGGTTCAGTCCTGGTTCAGTCCTGGTTTAGACCTGGTTCAGTCCTGGTTCAGTCCTGGTTTAGACCTGGTTTAGTCCTGGTTCAGTCCTGGTTCAGTCCTGGTTTCAGTCCTGGTTCAGTCCTGGTTCAGTCCTGGTTTAGTCCTGGTTCAGTCCTGGTTCAGTCCTGGTTCAGTCCTGGTTTAGACCTGGTTCAGTCCTGGTTTGGTCCTGGTTCAGTCCTGGTTCAGTCCTGGTTCAGTCCTGGTTTAGACCTGGTTCAGTCCTGGTTTGGTCCTGGTTCAGTCCTGGTTTGGTCCTGGTTCAGTCCTGGTTTGGTCCTGGTTCAGTCCTGGTTCAGTCCTGGTTCAGTCCTGGTTTAGACCTGGTTCATTCCTGGTTTGGTCCTGGTTCAGTCCTGGTTTGGTCCTGGTTCAGTCCTGGTTTAGACCTGGTTCAGTCCTGGTTCAGTCCTGGTTTAGACCTGGTTCAGTCCTGGTTTGGTCCTGGTTCAGTCCTGGTTTGGTCCTGGTTCAGTCCTGGTTCGGTCCTGGTTTAGTCCTGGTTCAGTCCTGGTTTTGACCTGGTTTAGTCCTGGTTCAGTCCTGGTTTAGACCTGGTTCAGTCCTGGTTTAGTCCTGGTTCAGTCCTGGTTTAGACCTGGTTCATTCCTGGTTTGGTCCTGGTTCAGTCCTGGTTCAGTCCTGGTTCAGTCCTGGTTTAGTCCTGGTTTAGACCTGGTTCAGTCCTGGTTTAGACCTGGTTCAGTCCTGGTTCAGTCCTGGATCAGTCCTGGTTTAGACCTGGTTCAGTCCTGGTTCAGTCCTGGTTCTGAGCACTAGTAAGTTTATGATGTGATTACGAGACAAAGAGTAATTATTATATTTAACTCTTTCTTTCAGGAGGCAGAGCAGTGAGGAATCTACCTAAAGTCCCTGAACATCGCCCCTCGAGTCCTGGTGAGATAAACACAAGTCTGTTCTGTGTGGACCTGGTCTGGTCCTGTTCTAGTCCTGTTTAGTCCTAGTCTAGTCCAGGTTCTGGTCTAAGTGTGATGCCGTATTTTAACTCCTACTTGAGTAATACATTTTTTAGGGAGTATTATCTGTTACATAAGGGTGAGTTATTGTACAGTTGTAGGGAGTATTATCTGTTACATAAGGTGAGTTATTGTACAGTTGTAGGGAGTATTATCTGTGACATAAGGTTGACCTGTTGTACAGTTGTAGGGAGTATTATCTGTTACATAAGGCTGAGTTATTGTACAGTTGTAGGGAGTATTATCTGTGACATAAGGTTGACCTGTTGTACAGTTGTAGGGAGTATTATCTGTTACATAAGGGTGAGTCGTTGTACAGTTGTAGGGAGTATTATCTGTTCCATAAGGGTGAGTTGTTGTACACTTGTAGGGAGTATTATCTGTTACAAAAGGGTGAGCTGTTGTACAGTTGTAGGGAGTATTATCTGTTCCATAAGGGTAGGTTGTTGTACAGTTGTAGGGAGTATTATCTGTCACATAAGGCTGAGTTATTGTACAGTTGTAGGGAGTATTATCTGTTACATAAGGGTGAGTTGTTGTACAGTTGTAGGGAGTATTATCTGTTCCATAAGGGTAAGTTTTTGTACAGTTGTAGGGAGTATTATCTGTTCCATAAGGGTGAGTTTTTGTACAGTTGTAGGGAGTATTATCTGTTCCATAAGGGTAGGTTGTTGTACAGTTGTAGGGAGTATTATCTGTTACATAACAGTGAGTTGTTGTACACTTGTAGGGAGTATTATCTGTCGCATAAGGCTGAGTTATTGTACACTTGTAGGGAGTATTATCTGTTACATAAGGCTGAGTTATTGTACAGTTGTAGGGAGTATTATCTGTTACATAAGGGTAAGTTGTTGTACAGTTGTAGGGAGTTTATTAAAAAAATTAAATCCTCTAAATCCTGTAACGAATGACATTTATTTTTATTTAATTCATGTTTTTAAGCCATTTTTGGATTTTAACACTTTTTATTTATTGTTTTATTTATGATTTAATGTCTTTTATTTTCTTAATTTGTCTGTGCAGCACTTTAGAAACCGTTACGTTTATATAAACAAAGTGGATCGGGAAAAAAAATTGTTGGGAAATAGTTCGCTCAAGTTAAAATTGTTCAGAAAATAACTAACTTTCTGGTGCCCTCTTAGTGGTGACGTTGTAAATTGAACTTTCTAAATAAAGTTTGCGTGATAGGTTTTGTTGTTTTTAAAGCTCTGGAGGCGCACGCTTCACTGCAAATGTCAGTTCAACGAGAAAATAACAAGTAATCCAAGCGTTCTATGCCCAGTTAGAAAAACCAGTCCGGCAGGTTGGAACGTCGGCACTGGGGGAAAACGTCGGCAAAACCAAAACTTAAAACCATTGTCTTGTTGTTTTTATTTTTTCAGACTGTTACGAAGTCCCAGACACTGAGGTAACTGCAACTTTTAATATTGACTTACTTAATAAAACGTGAAGTACAGATCAGTGAAAATTTGTTTAATCCAGATGAAACCGCAGCTGAAACCCCAAGTGAAACCCCCGCCTCCAGTTTTAAACAGGTAAAACTCGAGAAACGGTTCATAATCTGTGTGTCGTTCGTTCATTCGTTTTTCTAAATAAAACCAAAAATAAGAAAATGAAATAACTATTTTCTTCATTATTTGTCCAAAATGAAAATGAATGAAACCAAATGAAAAAAAAATGGATAATGATTCGTTTTTACATTTTTCATTTTTGTGTTTCAATTAATAATGGAGAAAAACGGATAAAGGACGATTCCCGTTTCTGGGACTTAAACTGTGATGCCGGACGTTTGCACCGCACACGGACTGAACCAGGACTGAACCAGGACTGAACCAGGACTAAACCAGGACTGAACCAGGTTTAAACTAGGACTAAACCAGGACTAAAACAGGACTGAACCAGGACTGAACCAGGCCTAAACCAGGTTTAAACTAGGACTAAACCAGGACTAAAACAGGACTGAACCAGGATTGAGACTGGGACCAGACTGGGACTGAGACCAGGACTCAGACTGGGACCAAACCGGGACTGAGTCCAGGACCAGACCAGGACCAGGACCAGCACTGAGACCAGGACCAGACCGAGACTGAGACTGGGACTGAAACCGGGACCAGACCGGGACTGAGACTGGGACTGAAACCGGGACCAGACTGGGACTGAGACTGGGACTCAGACCGGGACTGAAACCAGGACAAGACCAGGACCAGACCGGGACTCAGACCGGGACCAGACCGGGACTGAAACCAGGACCAGACTGGAACCAGACCGGGACCAGACCGGGACTGAGACCGGGACTGAAACCGGGACCAGACTGGGACTGAGACTGGGGCTCAGACCGGGACTGAAACCAGGACTAGACCAGGACAAGACCAGGACCAGACCAGGACTCAGACCGGGACCAGACCGGGACTGAAACCAGGACAAGACCAGAACAAGACCAGGACCAGACCAGGACCAGACCGTGACCAGACCGGGACCAGACCGAGACTGAGACCGGGTCTGAAACCGGGACCAGACTGGGACTGAGACCGGGACTCAGACCGGGACCAGACTGGGACTGAAACCAGGACCAGACCAGGACAAGACTAGGACCAGACCAGAACTGAGACTGGTTTAGTCCTGGTTCAGTCCTGGTTCAGTCCTGGTTCAGTCCTGGTTCAGTCCTGGCTCAGTCCTGGTTCAGTCCTGGTTCAGTCCTGGTTCAGTCCTGGCTCAGTCCGGCATCACAGTTTAAGTCACATAAACGGGAAACGGCCGTTATCTGTTTTTTCCATTTTTCATTTAAACCCAAAATCGAAAATTGATTTGTTTTGGTCATTTTTTGTTTTGGAGACAAATAATGAAGAAAATAGTTGTTTCTTAATTTTCTTATTTTGAAAAATGAATGAATGATACACAGATTATAAACGGATTGTTAATAAATTTCATTGTTTTTCTTGACAGGCTGTGTCCGGTTCCCTCACAAACACATTCTTTACCTCCAACACCAAGCCCAAGGTAACAAACAAACAAACATATTTACACAGATTTTATGTTTTATTATTATTAAATATTTGCCTCATTGACTGTTTCGTTTTTCAGGCTACCTCCAAGATCTCCTACTCCTGTAAGTAAAGACCATTTTCATTGCTTGTCCTACGGAGCCCAGAACAGGCATGGGTTATTATTTTTTCCATGGGGCCACGTGAGAAACATTAAATATTGTGAAGGGCCAAAATTGCTTAACTCTATCCTACCTGCGTGAAGTTGGCCCCTCATCAAACGCAACCGTACACAAAAACTCTGTCGATCGTTTCTGCTCCATTTGTGCCTCAAAAAGTTTAGTTTGTGCTGCTTTAGTTTTGGACATATTAACAATTCTTAAACAAAGCTTTAAAATGCTCTAAAACGGCGTCAATTGTTTGTGCTGTAAAAAGTTTCATTTGTGAGATTATGGTTGTTAAAATATGAGCAGTTTTATTTTCGGCCGATGATGTCGTCCAGGCTCAAAACAGGCAGAAAATTATGTTTTTAGGTTCTTTTTTCAGACCAAGAGAAAAGAACCTAATAACATAAAATATCGGAAGAGCAAATTAATCTCATTGGACTAGGCAGAAAATTTTCGTTTGTGCTGTAACAGTTTTCATTTGTGCTAGTTTATTTCTAAAATTATTAATTATTTTTGATGAAAACTAGTGAAGATAAACGATCTCAGGCTGTGGAAAAGAATGTATCTTTAGGAATTTGCTTTTGATTCATATTTTATATAATAATACTGACTTTTCCACAGCTTGAGATTGTTTATCTTCACTAGTTTTGTGGAGTTTGCTGCCGTCAGCTGAGCCGAAATGACGTCATAAAATTTCAGCAAAAATAATAAATAATTTTAGAAATATACTCGCACAAATGAAAACAGTCACAGCACAAAACAGCACAAACGAAATGTAAAAATCCGGTCTGGGCCCGGTCTGGTCCCGGTCTCAGTCCCGCTCTGGTCCCACTCTGGTCCCAGACCTGGATCAGTCCTGGTTCAGTCTGTATGCAGCGCAAAAGTTCGGCATCACAGTCACGGAAGTCACGTAAACGGGAAACGGCCATTATCTGTTTTTTTTCCATTTTTCATTTAAACACAAAATCGAAAACTGAAAAAACAAATCATTATCTGTTTTTTCATTTTGGTTTTGGAGACAAATAATGAAGAAAATCGTTTCGTTTTCTTATATTTGGTTTTATATTGAAAAACAAATGAATGAATGATACACGGATTTGTAAATATTTCATATAATCTTCTGCCTGTTTTGAGGTTATTTAACATTTTGAGCGGCTGGATGACGTCATCGGCCAAAAATAAAACTAATATCTTAAGAACCATAATTGCACAAGCAAAACTTTTTGCAGAACTAAACAGCACAAAGGAAACACACATAATTGATTCCACTTTGTGCCGGTTTAGAGCATTCTGAAGCTTCCTGGGGGCTGGCTAACCTGAATTTGACCTATAAAAGAATTGTTAACATCTCCAAAACAAAAACAGCACAAACAAAACCTTTTGCTGCACAAACGAAGCACAAATGATTGACAGAGTTTTTGTGTAGGTTTGAATTTGTCACAGACGTCTCAATTCTGCATCATATTAATTGCATTTCTTCATAAAAAGCAGTAAATATCAGACTGGTAAGAGTTGATGTTATGATTAAGCAATGAAAAAAATGAAATTGCCTTTAACACTTATAAATAAAAGCAATGCAGCTTTAGCCCATGCATGAAGTAAAACTATAAAATATTAGGAATGTCCCGATCACGTTTTTTTTGCCTCCGAGTCATTTGATTTTGAGTATCTGCCGATACCGAGTCCCGATCCGATACTTCTATAAAAATTATGAAATGAACTAAGAGCAAAGAATAAAATCCAGGATGTTTGGGGGAGATCAGGTTGTGTTGATTTCATGTGTAATATTTGGGCTGAACTTCAAATCAAAAATCAAACGTGACAACTGAAAATCAAATGTCCAAAACTTTAATTGTATTCACTTTTCTAACCATTCACCATCATTGTTGAAAATCTTGACTTTTCACAGTCTGGTCTTGGAATGTGTAACTTATTAAACTTAATGAACTGGAAAAAACAGGAACCAGACCAGAATCAGATCAGACCTGAGACTCGACTCTGCACAATCTACAGTTTGTACGTTTTATATTACATGGAAGCCTGTGCATTATATTTGAAACATTTAGGCTCGTCTATGAAATCCAAATAATACAAAATCTTACCAAATAAAAACGAGATGACAGAAGCCCCACAGCCTCTCTCCCCCGCACCGCCACCACTCCATGCCGCTACGCCATCGGCCGCGCAGGTGTGAACTTGGGCCACAGAACCCCAGGTAACAGCGCTCGACTACAACATCGCCCAAAAGTCCCAGCGTAAGTGCACCTCTAGTACAACAGGTGCTGGACGTCCCTGAGCAAATCCCGCGCCTCAGTAAAAAAAAAAAAAACTGTTGTGTGCTGTGTGTCCAGTGTGTTATTTATCCGATACCTGATCGGAACATAACGCCCGAGTCTGGATCGAGTCCACAGTCACGTGATCGTCGCCGATTTCCGGATCAGGACAACCGATGAGTTTCCGGAATGTACCCTGGAGCTGTACAATTCCCAGGTCTTGTGATGTAATGCGGTGATACAGGAAGTGCTCCACTGTGTTTTTAAACTCCTGTCAGCTTCTCCTGGAGGCAGCCTAAACAGAGGATGTTAAGAAAGAGGCTTGGAGAGTTAGAACAGTCTCTTTATTTGAGTCAGGCAGATTCAGGTCTCAAGATTCAAGTTGATTCAGCATGATTCTGCCTACGCGGCGTCTCTCTGTGCGTCGGTCGTCCCTCGACAACGCGGTCGGCGTTCCCCCACTGATGCACAGAAAAACTGGATGCCTTTTATACCAGCATAACTGTTGAGTTAACATCTTCATGGAAACATACACAGCAGTTTGTCCCAACACGTGTCCCATAACAGACTGGCAGATGCTAAAGGTTGGAGATACACCCCTTATCCGTCCCATATACATTCACCATTGACACTCCAAAGTCCAAAAACATACACAGCATATCACAGGGCAAATTACAGGGCGTATTAACATATGAATGAAACTTTAAAAACACAGGGTAGAAGCCCACACTCCGTACACCTTCATTAGAATCATTTGGATAATTTCAGACCTGGAATTGTCCATCTCTGCTGAACAAAGACTAAAAGGTACAGAGCTGCTGAACAGAGCATTTTCAGCTTTGGAGATGTAGACAGACTAATAATAAAGGGTTACTCAGCTCACAAGGGTCAATTTTGTGTAATTTAGAAGCTTTCATGTTCAGCGGCAAAATGGTTTGTGCTTTAGATCTGGTGGTGAAGCAGCGTGGTGTAATTGTTGTTTGTGCAATCACCTCATAGTACGATGGTTTAAGGTTCAATTCTCCGTACGGCCTTTCTGAATTTGCATGTTTTCTTTGTGTCTTTGTGTCTGGGAAGACAAACACAGAGCCACACCAGTACACAAACAATAAATACTAAATAATCACAATTTCTTTTTTTTCTTTTTTCTCAATCCAGGAGCCGACAGGAGACGACGAATACGAAGTGTGTGATGCAAATGACAGTAAGTTTATATTTGTTGTATACGTTGCAATGAAGAGCACAGATATACACTCCCTCTGAGCCATTGATTGATTGATTGGTTCGTTTTTATTTCGAGTTTGTGCCAAGAGAGAAACAATAATCATGTATACCACATATACATTGTAAACAACAGATAAGCACATCTCCCGAAAAGGAGTGAGAAGAAGAAAAACGTATATGAACCCACTGATATCGGCGAGTTTCATTGTTGACAAAAGCGGGCGTTGCATGCTGGGAATTATTTTGGTCAGCTGCAATAAACACTAATTCAACATGACGGACGGAGCGAGAAAGCACGTAAAGGGTATTGATCCCGGTTATTTATCCACTCTAACGGCAGAGGACCCAAGACCATTTGACCAGAAATTGGTCATAAGCATCGATGGAGCCAAATCACCCTTTTCAACCCCGACAAAAGGTGGACCAAACCAAATTTCTGGTCTGAATCTCCAACTACCTGGACAAATATTCACTTCGGTGATATCCACAATGACTTGGTGGAAACTCCTGGGCCATTCACAGCAGAAAAGATGAAAACCTCCAAGAGTCTCGATGCTTTGTTGAACTTGTTGGAGTCCACAGTTTGTTAGGATCTTCTACGTTTGCTCTGCGGATGTTTGAAAGCCGTTTAATTCACCGTTAGTGGATCTTTTCACTCAGAATACGAAAAAGACATTTTCCTTCTTCTGTGCTTCTATTTGTGCATCCGATAATGCAGCAGGAATTTACCATTATCGGGGATAAATACGCGAGGTTACGCACTGTGTTTGACGCTATCGTGTTTCTTGCCTCCAACCAAAATATTTCCCAGCATGCAACGCGGGCTTTTAATAACAATGACGTCAGCTGAAACTCGCCTATTCATGACATAGTTTCAAAAATTATGTGGTTGCTTCTGTACATTGATCACGGAACTTAACAAATATTTATATATAGCAAAATAAATTACATATTATGCATACAAAATATAATTTTAACCCCAAAACTGTTTTTGTTTTTTTTCCCCATTTTGTACTTTACACATACATATACACATACACATAGACATACATACATACACCCATACATATATACACATACATGACATGCCATGAGGGAGGTTCATGTTTAAATTTTGTCTATATAATGAAACTTAACTTTCTGATGTTGATAATTAACTTTATATTTTTTCTAATAATTACCCAGGTGTTTTAATTCACAAGAGATTGGTGTATTGCTTTACTGGGGTCTACTTGTAAATGTAAATTATTTTTCACTGCTGTGATTGGATCATGACTCTTTTGTCTGAGGGACAAAAACGTTGTATTAATAAAAAGAAAAATCAAGAGTAGTGAGAATATGTGCGAGAGTTTTCTTTAAACAGTGTGCAGAGTTTACACAGAAACGAGTCAATCTAAAATTCGCAACTCAGGAATTGGTTGTAAAGTGTGAAAATAGATTTTAGGAAGCTCTAGTTTACAAGAGGAAAAAGTAAACCTTGTACTCTTCTCTTCTTTCTTTTTTTAATTTCAGAGTGCAGCGGCGATAAACCCAAAGAATCCCGCCCTCTTCCTCATCCCAAACCCCGGCCCAGACAGTGAGACACATTTAAACTGTTGAAACAAGTTAATTTTGATGGTTTAATATTATTCTGTCTCTCATTTATTTTTCTTTTAATCTCAGGAGGTCACCCAAGCCGCCCATAAAACCTGTAAGTCATTTTTCTCCCACTGATTTATCCACTGGAGATCTGATAATGGATCAAAAGCGGAACTATTTCAATCACACTGCATTTCACGTTTAATAACCTGAAATAATTAAATGTTCTGATTTGGGCCCAGTTTGTCCGATATTAGTATTGGTCTAGTCGACATAGTTCCAGGTTAAATCCCAGTTTTTTCATGTATGTTTTAAGCAAATTTGAACACAACTCTGTACAGTTTCACGAGTATAATATTACAGTTTCCAAAAGCCGACTGCAGCGTAATGTTTCCTGTCACTCCGCTTGTTGCCAGACATAGCTGTTGGATTAATCCAGATTAAGAGCTACTTTGGACTGGTTTAATTCCTGTTAATCCCATTTCGTTTTAGTGCCAATTCAAGTCCTTTTGTGCTGCAGTTTTACACACATTGCTTGAGACACTTGATGACTGTTTTTTTTATCTGTTTTATCTTGAGCTGAGTTGTAAAACCTGATGTAAATCCTTATCAATAAGCAGAAAAAATTACGTCTTTCAATGTTTTTGTGTTTTATTTTGCAGAAATTACCCGCCAAACCATCATTCCGAGAGTTTGACAGTAACACAAGTAAGATATAAAGCTTTAAATCTTCTCTGAATCTGATAATGCCAATTTAAAGGTGTATTGTGTAACTTTTCTGGTGTAGGACAGATGTTCCACAGTATGGCATTTCATTTATTCAGTTTTTTGTTTCATTAGAGGTGATTTTATAGTATAGAAACACCCCTAAACACATGTGTTTTTGTGAGAGCGGGCCTTGCCTCTTCACTGATCTGAGTTGTACCTTAGTCTGCTCATCTCCATGGAGACAGATAAATTAAAAGCCGTACTGTGAAACATTCCGAACGCTTAAGTGCATCAACAT